TTAGTCTAGACTAACAATTTGGTTCCATTGTATACTCAGACTAACGTAGACTAAATTATTCTATTGAAATTTGAAATTCTGAATGGAAGCCGTTGAATTTAAAGGCGAACATTAAAACACATGCGGAACAACCGTTTTTGTTTGTTTTAGAGAGGTTAACAGAAGTATCTCAACAATATTATTTCAAATTTAAATGCACACAACTATGAAGACTTCATTTAAGCATCGAAAGGTTGTGCTAAAAGCAAATAACTCCTCAAGACAATGAGAGCGGGGGGACAAGATGTGGTATTAAAAAAGTATGGATTAAATGAGTTGTACAGGTTAGGAGAATGGCAGCAGGGGGTGGGGATGTATGCCGTCATATCAAAAACAGGTTCGTGGTTGTTTCTGGGCCAGTAGCCAGTCCTGGGGAGTAACACTCCGATTTTAACCTCTTCCTCGTTGTCCGTATTCGCTTGATTCTCATCGTGATGACAGCTTATGGCTGTGTCGATGAAAAGGCAGGAAAAATTTGCTGGAAAATTTTGGCTCAAGCTGATTCACGTCAGTAAGTGATATTAATTCAAACCAGCTTGAAGCTGACCTGGGTCAGCCTGCATGAATATTGCTTATAAATGAATAAATAAATAGGTATGAATTAAAGGAATTGTACAGGTGAAGAGAATGGGCAGGGGGTTGGCGGGGGGGTGGCGTTGGATGCCGTTATACTCAACAAAGTTTAATCGGTTGTTTATTTGCAAGTTAGATACATTTGCTGGAAAAGTTTAGTAACAAACTGATTAACGTCAATGTCAAGAAATGCTACTTATACCTTCTCTTAGGAGGCAACACTTCTCCATTAAATCAGCTTCTCTCTCACTGGAAATTTTTACTTGAGCAAGTGGGGACCCCCTGGCAACCCCATCTATTTGATCATAAAACACACCCTTAGACAAGAAACCAGTCTCAGCTGTTGCGAAGGTAAAAAACGATAATTTCGTATCAATTTCCTTTTCCATTGTGAAACGAATACTAGGATGCCTGGCGTTGATATAATCAAAGAACACGAGCGCGTCCTCCTCGCAATTGAACAAACCAACATAGCGTCTGTAGAACAGAACTTCAGAGAATGAATAGTTATCTAGCCAGTTTTTTTCATGATCTCCCATAAAGAGGTTTGCAAGTACTGGTTTCTTGTTTCTTGTTTAAAATGTGTGATGAATGGCTTGAAAATATGGATAATGGGAAATTGAACGGCGTCATTTTTTTAGATATTAAAAGCATTTGATTCAATAAATCATGGCATTCGTTTTGGCATCTCGAGCATGGAACTGAAGCGGTTCGAATCGTATGTGTCAAATAGAGCAACAATGCAGTATCAATGAGCTATTGTCATCCAAGAAAACAATTACCTATCGCGTCCCTCAGGGCTCAATCTTGGGTCGATTGTTGTTCTCATTATATATTAATGACCTGCCTGAGTGTTTAAGATCAGCCACTCCATGCAGGTATACGGATGATACTCAGATCTTCTCACCCTCTTACGATGCTAACGAAGTTGTCATCAAATTAAATTCTGATTGCGCTATGGCTTATAGAAAACAAACTTCAAATCCACCCCTCTAAGTCTAAATTGATGTTTATTGGCTCCTCGTATAGTTTAAACAATAAAAATATCGAACAACCCGTTGTGGTAAACAACATGCTCGTATCAGGAACTGACACACATATATGCTTGGGAGTTGAGATAGATAAAAAAAACTTAGTTGGGATAGTCATATTGACATGATTTGAAAGAAGGACAGTGTGGGTATATTGGAGCGATGAGACGAATTTTAAAGCCCTTTGTTCCTGTAGATACGCTTGAAAAGGTTTATAAAAGCCTGGTACAGCCTTACTTTGAATATTGATCCCCTCTCTGGGACAACTGCGGAAAATTAAAAGAAAAGTTACAAAGATTTCAATCTCGAGCTCTTAGGGTTCTTACAGGTGCCAATTATGATATTCGTTCCGCTGATAAAATCCAGACCCTCTCTTGGGACGCACTTGATACGAGGCGGCTTCATGCCAAGTCAACATTGATGTATAAAAAAACTAAGTGACGACACCGCGCCCAGCCATGGGAACACTTGTGTTAGAAGGAATGTAGATCATACTGATTACCACCTCAGAAATAGTGCTACAGATCTGAAACTTCCTAAACCCAAGAGAGTGTTTCTAAAAAGAAGTTTTAAAATAGCGGCACAATGCTTTGGATCCAATTCCCAAATAAAGCAAAACTAACGGAATCGATATATTCATTCAATAACTGTATCAAAACGTTATTGGGTCATGTCATACCACATGTGTTGATCTTTTACTTAGTTTACTATATGCACTTAGTTTGTTATGGTTGAATTTCTGTAGTTTTAGACTTACCATATTATTCATCATCTACTTAGTTTATAATGTGCACTTTGTTCATAATAGTTGAATCTTTATGATTTTAGACCTATGACATCATTAATCTTGTATTATTAGTTCTAGTTTCTTTTTATGTTTGTACAAACACGCCCTCCATGGAAACTAGCTAAGTGTTGTTGGGGCTAGCGTGTTTCTTTGATTTAAATGAAGTATACCTACCTACCTACTTTCATGCAATGAGTTCAAGTTATCTGCAATTATAAGGGTTACTCACCTTTATTTTACCGCTGTCCACGCCCGTACCCGTGCCTGAACTCCATGCACACTGTTTCCAATTGGCCAGCTGTCTCGGGTCAATATTCGCTGTATTTCCTTTCTGTCCCTTTAGTCCACTCATCCCTCTCTCTCCTTTGTATCCACTGGGACCCCTGGGGCCAGTCATCCCAGGGATACCCGCACCATTCACGCCTTTGCTTCCTATTTCTCCTTTAGAGCCTTTGTAGCCTCTCGGACCAATTTCCCCTGGGATTCCTTCGCTGCCCTTTTCCCCCATGCTACCAATTTCCCCTTTAATTTTCTCCAGTCAGCCCTTTGTGCCCCCAGAGGCCTCTTGAGCCAGGTTGTCCTGGGGATCCTGCATCTCCTTTCCGACCTTTTTCCCCCGTGTCGCCGCTTCTTCCCGGCGGACCCGAAGGACCTGATGAGCCTGGTACCCCTGGGGTCCCTGGTATTCCGTTGGATCCAGGCATTCCCTGCATTCCCGGCAGTCCTGGCATCCCACATGATGAGCACGACTGTCATCAGAGAGGATAGAAAAATATTTTTGTGAGCCACAGATTGAGTTCGTTTGTCCCTTAAACTTTTTTTTTTCTTTGACGAACAGATGATGATCGGTCTGGCATTTTGACTTTTGATATTTTTTTACTTGGCGCGTGAGTAACATTGCGATCATAGAGCTATCACGTTAGATGATAGAAAAACTTTATCAAGGCAACATTTACATTATCATGTTGGATCATAGTTTAGTGTGGCTTTTTGTCCTAAGAGGAAACCGAGATGTGGCTTTCATTTAGCGCAAGAACGAAACAAAAACTAAAAAATACTCGAAGTCTGCTCTAGGCATCGGTGAAATCTGCCCATGCCGGAAGTTTATGGCAATCGTTAACTTTGTCGTATATTTTCTTTTTTCCCGTATTTTGATGCGTTAAATTGCGTTATTGGTTGAAAATTTTCTTTTTTCTTTCCTCTGGTACACTTCTTTCGTGCTATTCAACTGTGAAATACGGTGCTGGTCATTGTCAAGTAGAACTGTCAAAATAATTGAACAATGACTCGGTTGACAAAGTTAACAGCCAGTGCTTACCTTACATTGTAATGATGAAATATTCCTTTCAAGTTTGTTGGCTTTTATCAATAAATACGTGAAGGAACTGACGGCGATAAGAGCCAACAAGGAGACACCCTGCATGGCTGCGTTATGTTTGTTACAACAGGGAAGGTTTCGTGGCCAACAGATAAGTGCCGACTGCTTGTTTTACTATAGAGTTGGCCAGTTTTTGGGTCCTCAACGAAGAGAGACTTGCAAACACTCTAGACCTGATTACAGCTATCTTTATTGCTCAATCAAATTGCTTATATGCATATTGGTGGCTAGTTTTTACGTGATTAAATATGCGAGGTAAG